TGAAATTCTTATATTAGATAACTCTGTCTAGTCTTTTTGATTGATTTTTGATTTATCCAAATATAATTTCATGAAAACTTAATAAAAAAAATATATTTCCAAGTGCACCCTCACCGCCCATATATAAATTGCCCATATTTACCATTACCCAAAGTTTTAGTATTAACTTGTAGCTAAAAACCAATTTTTAGCTTCTTCACAATATCTCTGCACATTGCCAATATAAGTCCAATTTTTTTTAACTATTGCCCATTTTAGTTTGATTTTCAAACGCATGCAAATCTTAACATACGAATGAATAATACTGACCTATTGACAAAGAACAATTTTTGGTAAAGTACTCTGAAATAACCTAAGTTTTTGGAACATCTTTAATAACTTAACCTGTATAAAATTAATACCACTTACAATTAATAAAAAAAATTATAATATTTATTTAATTTTAAGCAAATTTTCGCCAAAAATAATTTATTATAATATGCAAATACCGTATCCCCCGTATCATGTCCCATATTTTAAAAATCCCCATCGGCCGCCCTCTCCTTTTTCGTGTGACTTATCATTTTGTCTAAATCTCTAAATCGGGATTACTTCAAATCCGAGGTTAAGAGATATCTAGCGTACGTTCCTCTTATAAATTCCCCTTTTTTCTTCGGATAAAGCTCCGAGCTTTGAGCTTATTTGAGCTTTTTTGAGCTTTTTAAGCTTTAACCCAGGAGACGAGATGGTGCAAGAGTGCTGATTTATGCGTCTTACGGAGGACGAGTACGCCGACGAAATATATGATTAGGAAATACTCGGAGATGAATTTTTTTATGAATTTCGTTTTATGAAAATACATTTTTATTATTTTTTTGTTTTTTTTCTTTAGGTTGTTTTAATTATAGAGTTGTGTTTGAAAAGACTTACTGATTTTATGTTCTTGTTTCTGCTTTGAGCTTTTTTATATATAAAAGGCAAAACGTATCATTTTCATAAAATTTGAAGTACTACTTCAGAGAAACGTAGAAATTCTAGCCAGAGGCAAATTAACATTTAAATGAGTATAGGGAAAATATGGGTTGATAAAGCATAATGTTGGTACTAATTTGTCAAATTTGATTTTTAAATTTTGAGGTCGAATACGATTTTAATCAAATTTTACATTCACCACAAGCAAAGTAACAATGCTGTTTAAGTCTGAAGTAAATTTTCTGGTGAGTATAGTAATTGATAATATGCAAATGCCAGAATTAATTTGCCAAAATTGATTTGTTACTTTTGATGTCCAATATGCACTGATGTCAATTTTGATGGCCATTTGATGCAAATGGAATAATATATTTTTCAAAAATAATAATTATCAATAAGCAGTATTTCTATTTGGATTTTTATATTTGTGATTCATTATTAGTAAGTTTTTAAATTGAGAAGTTATACCACTTTCTGTACAATTTCACAGTACTCAAAATGTTAAAAAATTTCAAACTTCAAAATAAGCTAAATTTAAATAATCTAAAAAAATTCAAAAATTGATATCACATACCAATATATAGGAAATGAAATATTGAAACAACTCTAATTACAAAATATTATTTTGTTTTTAAAATGGTATGTTATTTAGAGCATGATTTTATTCCTATTTATACTAAAAATGCTTGCATAACTTGTGTTGAAACTTTATTGTACATTTTTTAGAAAGGTTAATAATACCATTTATTGATAAATGATTTTTAACAACATATTTTATTTTTCATAGTTTTCTGTTAATATATGTTTTCAATGTTCAAAATTTTTAATTTAATAAACACTTTAAAATATTTTGATCCTTGTTTCGCTATTACTAAATATTTGATAATTATTTTAGTGTTACTGATTGAATTTGTTTTATTGTTTAATTAGTGTTATTCTAGAATAGGATATTCTTACTAATTTGGTGTAGAAAAAAATATCTTCTTTAAAAATTACTTTCAAAATAGATTTCATTCAGTGAAACTAAAATTAAATTTATAAACAAAGTTTGAAACATTCAAAGTACAAACATGACTTGCAATAAGCTTATTATAATATTTAAAATGGAAATAACTCTTTCCACTCGCAAATTGCGAGAGTTTTATGTATTTTGCCGCCGGAGTGGTAGCATCCGAGTGGAAAGGCGCCAGTTTTTTGATATAATAGATATGTTATGTTACGGGTCTTTAATCGTATGAGAAGGTAGCTATGTACTGTCAAAAAGCTATGTATTTGCCGTTCGATCAATCGTTTAGCACATAAAATCTAACCTCCAAAATGCACAAACGTCAGAATATTAACTTGGGTTAGACTTTACGTATGTGTTACCAAAGTGACAACAGAAAGTTGCACTTGTGATAAAATTGCTATTTGACATTTGTGCCTTTTGGAGGTTAAGTTTTATATGTAAAATGTTTAATTTGATTTTATTTATTTAACATAAATTACAAACTATCTAGACATTGAGTAATCGTGCTAATAAAATAAAATTGATTTTTTTATAAGGCTACCCAGTAGAAAACTTTATACTTAATAAGCTCATGGCATGTTACTTTAAGACGTATTTTCTACATTACATTATAAGATTACAGAAAACAAAACAAAAACGAAAATAAAAATAATAGTAATAACAATTATTAGTATTATTATTATTATTATAATTATTATAGTTACATTTTACATTTAACAATATAGTATAAGCTAACTTACTTGTATAGGATTATAATCCGAAACTTGGCTTCTAAAACTGTTGCAATTATAACAGTTTTGCACAATTTTACTAACATAATAATTTTTACCAAAGAGCATCGCACACTTACTCTAATAAATAAAAAAGTAAAAAAATAAGTTACAATTATAAGTGAATTATCAAAAATGTTGTACTAGAAACCGATTTGCTATACTCACTTAGCTGAATTAGGAGTCACAAATGGTTAATAAAATGAATTTTAATATTCTAATTCGGGCTCGCCCGTAGGTAAGCGGTTAAGAGCGACGGGACTTGTTTCAGAGGTCCCGGGTTCGATACCCACTTCGAGCAGCCTGTTGTCAGGCAGCAGTGACAACGATTTTTACTTAGAAATATAGATAGCAATGTTTCCAAGTGAATAATAGCCCTTGCCCGACATTGCTGCACCAATAAAATGTCAGCCTTAATAGATTAATTCTAATAACAAAAAATTATCAAATATAGATGGATTAACCATTGGGTTACCATCTAAAAAAAATACGAAGTAAGGAGATGTTTTAGCCCAACAGCTCTTAGGACGTAAGGTTCTGATTGCTGTTCAAAAATAATAAAAAAAGGAAAAAAAAATTTAATTCGACGAATTAGTAGATAATTAATCTAATTAAATCTCTATGTGGGTGTATGTAAGTGTCTGTGTTTATATGTATGTTTGTATTCTAATTTCATCAGTCGGGTTAAATATGTGGATTTATGTTTTAAGCAAGTGTCGTGTCATCGCATCGTACGGGCATTATTCAACCTCCAGAACAAGGGATTAGTATCACTCGCCACTCGCCACTCGCACTGGCCACAGGATTTTAGCTTTTAATCCGGAACACTGGATCATCATGCCGTTCCCAATTCCGAACATTTGCCACTGAATACACGAGAAATCATCTCTGAAACTTCCAAACTTCTAAATGAATATAATTGAATATAGATGTTGCCCTAATATTTCTTACAATAGTTAATTAATTGATCCTCACATTAAAAACCACAAACGATTTTTAGCATTTTTGAGATTTCCAGTGTTTTCCAAAATTCTATGAGCTAATAGTTATTGATCGTTTTTTGCTACCTAATTAATAGGGCTTTTGATTTGCAATTCTCAACAAATGACCTATACCTATACTGTTAACCCTTTTGCTAATGGAGCGCTTTCTGCAGGAGTGTCGCTGCTATACGGAAACAGCGTGCCACTCAGTTGCACTACAGATATATTCATGACTATCAATACAAATATGTTGAAAAATTACGTATGCAATATACTAGAAATTACCATAAAAGACTATAATTCTCAGTGCTTCAAATCAAAGTCATAAATTTCAAAGCAAAGGCAAACACATGTCGTCCATGGACGACATCCGTAGAGGCAGCACGTCATGTAGGTGTCGTCCAGGGATTGTAGCAAAAGGGTTAATTGGTATTTGATTTCCAATGCTTAGAGGTTATCAAGTTGATAAAAGCGTTGATTCCAAATTTCCAATGCTTAGATGATGCTGGTCTTTTAATTACCTTTCTCTTGCCAATGATATTGGACCTCTAAGAATTTTGCCAAAGCGGCGGCATCCGAGTGGAAAGAGTTAATTTATGAATGATGAATAAGTATACCAAGTTGCTGTATGGCATTATAATACGAGAAAATATTGCAGATTATTCACTTTTGAAGAAAATTTACTTTTAAAAAATGCCTAATACACACGCGGTGTATTTTTTAAAAGTGCGTCCCAAATATTCCAAACGTTTTAAACAATTTTTTAAAATTAAACCAATTGTAGCAGGCCTATAATATGTTAGAATTATAATATTTAAGGATGTTTGTTAAAAACCATACACTCTCAATACAAAAAGCTTTTTTTTCTTATAACATAACTTATTATATAAAAAATATCTTATAAACTTTTATAAATTTTTGTTCATAAAAAAACTATTAGTACGTATTTATGATACTTATGTATGAAAGCTAGAACAATTATATGTTCAATAGAGATTATAAATAAACAAAATTTTGTACTTTATATAATAAAATTGATATTTAATTAATAATAAACACTTTTTTCAGTAATCAAAACAACACAATTAAATTAACTATATAACTCGAAAATTTTATTAAGCAATTTAAATTTAATTAAGTAATTGCTTGTAATTCGTAGAATAATTAGTATTGCAAATACTATAAAGATGAATTACATTTCAGTATTAAAATAACAGCATTCTAAAATTTGCTGTCAGGTTTTGAACACAAGAGTTTTGACGTTGTTCTAATGTTAAATAAATTAATTCATACGGCAGTCACATCTGTCGTTTGAATCCTAGTGATTGGCCTAGCAGGCTTAACAGTCAAAACATGTGGTTCACATGAGGTGGTTCCTTCTTCACCACCTCCAATTTTCATACCAGAAAGGGATTCAATCATGGCGTCCACTCCAAGGGAGTTGACACCTGCAGGCTTCATCGCGAAGTGCAGGTAGCAAAAACCTTTCACTCCCCTCCAGGTGATGTCAAAAGGCTTGACACCCCTTTCTGCCAAAGCAGACTTAATGTCACGCACTCTATCCGTCTTTGCGATGTTGCTCACCTTGACGCTAAATTCGATCTGCGGCTTTGTTCTACGCGTGCGCCTCTTTCGCAAATAATTGCGTCTGGATTGGCCATTCTCATTAGATACGTCCAATACGTCCAATACGTCGTTCTCCTCCTTCTCAGGGACACGTCGTCGTCTCAATCTACGGCCATTTCGTCTATGCTCAGACGCATCACCATCGCCCTCATTTGGCTCGGATTCGCTATTCTTTGCTGACTTACGGGACCTCCTTCTCTGTTGAAATTTATTAGGGACTCTCACTTTCTCCACGCTTTCATTATCAGTATCTAACTCTTTTAGCACGATCTTCTTTCCGGCGCTAAGATAAAAAATAATATACTTTACATAATGATGTAAACTAATTATATATAAACACATGTATTCTAGCAAGCATTCATACATTAATTATAAATACACTATTAAATACTTACGCTTCTTCCTCTTCTTTGATTTTTTTCAAGGCATTTACAGTGTTTAAACGCCTTTCGGAGATCAAATTCCACATTATGTGAGTTGGCCGTGGTGGTCGTCCCGAGACCATGATTGTCTCGGTAGGTGTTATTATAATGTCAACCGGCACGTCATGAGCACCAAATAAAGCGCTGGGCATATCGTCCTTCACCTGGCAGTCATGCACCAACGTGGCAATAAGAGTATTCTGGTTTAGGGCTTTGACATGTTGCACAATGGCAAACTCAAGATCAGTGTATCCACGACCCTTACCAATTCGCAAGCCATTGCGAGACACTGCTACTGATCCAATGATTAGTAAGTCAATGTTGATACCAGAGTTTAAATCAACGGTTGGAGCTTCATTTAATCCTCTACGAGTAATTGCTCGGCGGACATGGTACTTGGAGTTGGTTTCAGGCATATCAATTTTGGTTAATAACCCAGATTGTAGTCGAGGGACAGGGACCACTAACTGCTTACTTGCTCCAAGGCTAGTATTCTAACGCATTCCAATGTCTTATCTGGGTTTACTAAAACGGTCTTTGCCTGTTTGAAAACATCTAGTTCACTTACTCTCTGTGCGGCTTCAAAGGCTCCCTTGAAGTTTGGGATCCTATTGAAAACTGGACGTGGATACAGTGAAAGTCGGTTCTCTTCAAAGTATGTCCAAACACCTCTACGGATTACTTGCTTCGTCACCCCAGCTTCAGCTTCCTTTGCTTCCTCTGTAAAATCCGTTCTAGATTTATCCATTCTAATAATCGTCAAATTTCAATCAAGAAATACTATCGCAAATATTCGATTGCGTTTACAAAAACAACTCGACGAGATTTGATTTTATTTTGTTTGACGAAAAAGTCATCACTACTAGACTAGCATTTTTATAATAAAAAAAACAAATGCTTTCAAAATTCTAAATTGATAAATGTCTGAAATATAATCGTTCGAAATATAACCGTCGTTTAAAACAGTCATTTAAACCAAGACCGAGAGTATTGTTTATTGACGTAAAACTTACGAGTATAATGCCACTTCCAACAAAGTTTAATTAAATTGGTAAATGAATTACTTTTATAGTTGTAATTCTAAATTGATTTGCAAAAGGTTGCGTTAAATTTTTTACATATAATATATGGAATTTATCATTTAACCAAGTGGTTTCCAACCTTTTTTGCACGGCGCCCCCTTGCTCTAATAAAAAAAATTGTTGCGCCCCCTTTAATTTTTGCAACAATTTAATTTTAGAATTACTCAACTGATATTATCAGACTACAAATTAGTATGCAATATGCATAAAAACTAATTATTTTTTGTTTATTTTTTAACATCAATTCAAAAATTTTGGGTTATTTTCGGAAATAGTATTCTGAAAACAGATGTACGCGCACCCCTCAGAACAGCCTGGTGCCCCTAATTAATATTACAATCCTTATCATTATTTTAAATTTTAATGATTTTTTAACTTTCCGTAGATTATAGTAATCGCAAGAAAATCGAAAATGAAATGTTTTTTACATCTTTACGTTTTAGAGGTTTCTGAAAATTTTGGCGTACCTTAGGAAAAATAGATGTATGTGTGTGTATGTGTGCGTGTGTGTATGCGGATACCAATTTTCGTTAACGATTTCCCTAACACGAATTTGAATATTTAAAAAAAATCGATTTCTACTGATAAGGAGACGTGCTGATTAGTTTTTGGCAAAGGCAGTTCTGACCGTTTCGGAGATACGGGGCGAAATTGCCAAAAATGTTATTTCAGTTTTTGAGATAACGGAGCGTCCGATTTGAATAATTCAAAAAACTTTGCACTTGTATTGACGAAATAAACAACTGATGAAATTTTTGTAAAGGCAGGTTCGGCGCCTCCGAAGATCCAATAAAAATGTGAAAAATAATGCCATTTGGCGGTCAAAATGGAACATTAGACATATGTACATCGTATTATCAGATACTTTATAAAGATTATAATAATAAGTACAAATTTTGTGTACATTTATATGGGTTCCGTACCAATGCTTACACATTAGACGACTACGCGGCGCTTACGCGCTTTGATATTTTGTCTCCAAATTAGCTACGCAGCGCGATTGCTTAAAAAATGTTCAAGATTTAAAAAAAATCAAACTATAATAAAATTAAATTTTTCAAAAGTGGATCACTATACACAGTGTTAATATCTGTTTACTATTTTTAATGAAAAGTTATATACAATATGAACAGAACTAAATAGTAAATAAAAAGGCTTGGCAATATTATTTGGGCTTTTTTAGACTGTAATAGTATTTCTGGACACTGAAGATAAAAAACGATTTAATAGTTATAAAATATAGTGATCTAACAACAAAAATAGGATTTAAACTTTACATCATTAGCCGGAAGATGTAAGATTGAACTTTACAAAATTGTTTCAAAATGTTGATAATTAAACATTTACTCTTTGCTTACTTTTTTATTATCACTGTAAATTCAGTTAATAATACAATTAACATGAATTTTTACTTTAAACATCAAATGATAAACTGAAGTACATTTACAAATTATCAAAAAATCGTAGTTGGGCAAATAAAGGTCTATGGCAAAGCCCAAGGGGTCGAAGGGACAAAAAAGTTTTAGAACCTACGGTTTGGACCATAAATTTTATCCCTATGTAAAGTTCAAAATAACGTGGGTTTTAAACGATTCAGAATAACTTATAATGTCGAGGGAATACGAATTTAACAAATTGAATTTTCTGACGATATCAAATTATTTCGTGCTAATAATCCATTAGCTTGCATACACAATTTTAAAATAAACGTCATAGTTTTTGTGGCCTTCCAAATTACACATGTCGTTAAACATATTAATCATAAATGTTTGAATGAACTGTAAATCGAATGGAGTATATGTACGATAGCGTCATATCAATACATACCAGATCGAAATTTATAATTGGAATATATTTATTGCCTTCAAATTGGCACGTCTGAAGCAAGGTGCCAAGTATTTTGCAATGTATTCAATAGAATTTAATTTTTAACTTCCTGAAGGAGAAGTTTACGTTTTTGCTAGAAAATCCGACTTGCTAATTTTATGTTCCCTCAACGTTGCAAGTCATTCGAAATTGTTTAAGTATCAAATTTGGAAAATGTATGTGTACTTGTACATTTCGTCGTCAACAGTTGCACCGATTTCAAAAACTTAGGAATTATTTATGGTGTTACTCGATTAGGTCAACGTTGATGTGGTTTGTGAGACGATCGGCTCAGCCGTTTCTTTAGGGTTTAGAGAAAATTGTTTAATTTTTTGTCAACATATTCGCAAATGATTTTGAAAATTTAAAATCTCTGCGGAAGATATCAGTTGGGAATCGTTCTGGCTAGCTTTTGGAAAAGACCCGCCAAGTCATTTCTTCGTAATTAATGAATGATATTTTTTTTGACCACTTTAATGAAACCTCGCCTATAGTCCAGTCATTATAGTAAATTTACCTCGGAATTCGAGATACCCAACTATAAGTCTGTAAATACCCTAAAATAGCACCCTAAAAGTTGTCTCAAAATCTACATATGGTAGGATGTACACAATATATGTAGGTTTTGAGACAACTTTTAGGTGTCAATATACAAGTATTTACAGACTTACAGCTGGGTATCTCGAATTCCGAGATTCTTACGTAATATAAGCTTAAATTACTGAACTAGTATGTTTTTAATGAACATCCTGATCTATTATAATCCTAAAATATAGGCCTGCTACAACTGGTTTAATTTTAAAAAATTGTTTAAAACGTTTGGAATATTGGGACGTACTTTTAAAAAATACACCGCGTGTGTATTAGGCGGGTGTTCATTTTTTCTTCAATAATGTATAATCATTTTTTAAAAGTAAATTTTATTCAAACGTGAATAATCTGCAATATTTTCTGGTATTATAATGCCATACAGCAACTTGGTATACTTATTCATAAATTAACCGTTTCCACTCGGATGCCGCCGCTTCGGCGGCAAAATTCATATTAATTTCACAATTCGCGAATGGAAAGGGTTAATTTATGAATGATCAATAAGTATACCAAGTGGGGGCAAAGACTAAGTTTGGCCGCCTCTTGATCCAGCGGTCTTTAACTAGGCCGCCTTTTAATTCAGTGGAATTTTAATGCAAACGCTTTTTATTACGGCCGCTTTTCGTTATGGCCGCCTTTGGTTTTGCTCTTTTTTTATTTGGCCGCCCCTCGGCCGCCCCAAAAAGTAGCCGCCTGCGTTACACTGAAAGAATAGTGAATTATTAGCTCGAAATAATTTATTGATATCGTCAGAAAATTCAATTTGCTAATTTTGTATCCTTCGACGTTATAAGTTATTCTGAATCGTTTGAAACCGACGTTTAATTAAACTTTACGTAGGGATAAAATTTATGGTTCTAAGGTTCTAAAACTTTTTTGTGCCTTCGATCCCTTGGGCTTTGCCATAATCCTCTATTTACTAAACTTCGATTTATTAACAATTTATATTAACTGTATTATTAACTGAATTTAAAGTGATAATAAAAAAGTAAGCAAAGAGTAAATGTTTAATTATCAACATTTTGAAACAATTTTGTAAAGTTCAATCTTACATCTTCCGGCTAATGATGTAAAGTTTAAATCCTATTTTTGTTGTTAGATCACTATATTTTATAACTATTAAATCGTTTTTTATCTTCAGTGTCCAGAAATACTATTACAGTCTAAAAAAGCCCAAATAATATTGCCAAGCCTTTTTATTTACTATTTAGTTCTGTTCATATTGTATATAACTTTTCATTAAAAATAGTAAACAGATATTAACACTGTGTATAGTGATCCACTTTTGAAAAATTTAATTTTATTATAGTTTGATTTTTTTTAAATCTTGAACATTTTTTAAGCAATCGCGCTGCGTAGCTAATTTGGAGACAAAATATCAAAGCGCGTAAGCGCCGCGTAGTCGTCTAATGTGTAAGCATTGGTACGGAACCCATATAAATGTACACAAAATTTGTACTTATTATTATAATCTTTATAAAGTATCTGATAATACGATGTACATATGTCTAATGTTCCATTTTGACCGCCAAATGGCATTATTTTTCACATTTTTATTGGATCTTCGGAGGCGCCGAACCTGCCTTTACAAAAATTTCATCAGTTGTTTATTTCGTCAATACAAGTGCAAAGTTTTTTGAATTATTCAAATCGGACGCTCCGTTATCTCAAAAACTGAAATAACATTTTTGGCAATTTCGCCCCGTATCTCCGAAACGGTCAGAACTGCCTTTGCCAAAAACTAATCAGCACGTCTCCTTATCAGTAGAAATCGATTTTTTTTAAATATTCAAATTCGTGTTAGGGAAATCGTTAACGAAAATTGGTATCCGCATACACACACGCACACATACACACACATACATCTATTTTTCCTAAGGTACGCCAAAATTTTCAGAAACCTCTAAAACGTAAAGATGTAAAAAACATTTCATTTTCGATTTTCTTGCGATTACTATAATCTACGGAAAGTTAAAAAATCATTAAAATTTAAAATAATGATAAGGATTGTAATATTAATTAGGGGCACCAGGCTGTTCTGAGGGGTGCGCGTACATCTGTTTTCAGAATACTATTTCCGAAAATAACCCAAAATTTTGAATTGATGTTAAAAATAAACAAAAAATAATTAGTTTTTATGCATATTGCATACTAATTTGTAGTCTGATAATATCAGTTGAGTAATTCTAAAATTAAATTGTTGCAAAAATTAAAGGGGGCGCAACAATTTTTTTTATTAGAGCAAGGGGCGCCGTGCAAAAAAGGTTGGAAACCACTGGGTTAAATGATAAATTCCATATATTATATGTCAAAAATTTAACGCAACCTTTTGCAAATCAAATTAGAATTACAACTATAAAAGTAATTCATTCATCAATTTAATTAAACTTTGTTGGAAGTGGCATTCATTATACTCGTAAGTTTTACGTCAATAAACAATACTCTCGGTCTTGGTTTAAATGACCGTTTTAAACGACGGTTATATTTCGAACGATTATATTTCGGACATTTATCAATTTAGAATTTTGAAAGCATTTGTTTTTTTTATTAAAAAAATGCTAGTCTAGTAGTGATGACTTTTCGTCAAACAAAATAAAATCAAATCTTGTCGAGTTGTTTTTGTAAACGCAATCGAATATTTGCGATAGTATTTCTTGATTGAAATTTGACGATTATTAGAATGGATAAATCTAGAATGGATTTTACAGAGGAAGCAAAGGAAGCTGAAGCTGGGGTGACGAAGCAAGTAATCCGTAGAGGTGTTTTGGAAACACTTTGAAGAGAACCGACTTTCACTGTATCCACGTCCAGTTTTCAATAGGATCCCAAACTTCAAGGGAGCCTTTGATGCCGCACAGAGAGTAAGTGAACTAGATGTTTTCAAACAGGCAAAGACCGTTTTAGTAAACCCAGATAAGACATTGGAATGCGTTAGAATACTGGCCTTGGAGCAAGGTAAGCAGTTAGTAGTCCCTGTCCCTCGACTACAATCTGGGTTACTAACCAAAATTGATATGCCTGAAACCAACTCCAAGTACCATGTCCGCCGAGCAATTACTCGTAGAGGATTAAATGAAGCTCCAACCGTTGATTTAAACTCTGGTATCAACATTGACTTACTAATCATTGGATCAGTAGCAGTGTCTCGCAATGGCTTGCGAATTGGTAAGGGTCGTGGATACACTGATCTTGAGTTTGCCATTGTACAACATGTCAAAGCCCTAAACCAGAATACTCTTATTGCCACGTTGGTGCATGACTGCCAGGTGAAGGACGATATGCCCAGCATATTATTTGGTGCTCACGATGTGCCAGTTGACATTATAATAACACCTACCGAGACAATCATGGTCTCGGGACGACCACCACGGCCAACTCACATAATGTGGAATTTGATCTCCGAAAGGCGTTTAAACACTGTAAATGCCTTGAAAAAAATCAAAGAAGAGGAAGAAGCGTAAGTATTTAATAGTGTATTTATAATTAATGTATGAATGCTTGCTAGAATACATGTGTTTATATATAATTAGTTTACATCATTATGTAAAGTATATTATTTTTTATCTTAGCGCCGGAAAAAGATCGTGCTAAAAGAGGTAGATACTGATAATGAAAGCGTGGAGAAAGTGAGAGTCCCTAATAAATTTCAACAGAGAAGGAGGCCCCGTAAGTCAGCAAAGAATAGCGAATCCGAGCCAAATGAGGGCGATGGTGATGCGTCTGAGCATAGACGAAATGGCCGTAGATTGAGACGACGACGTGTCCCTGAGAAAGAGGAGAACGACGTATTGGACGTATTGGACGTATCTAATGAGAATGGTCAATCCAGACGCAATATTTGCGAAAGAGGCGCACGCGTAGAACAAAGCCGCAGATCGAATTTAGCGTCAAGGTGAGCAACATCGCGAAGACAGATAGAGTGCGTGACATTAAGTCTGCTTTGGCAGAAAGGGGTGTCAAGCCTTTTGACATCACCTGGAGGGGAGTGAAAGGTTTTTGCTACCTGCACTTCGCGATGAAGCCTGCAGGTGTCAAATCCCTTGGAGTGGACGCCATGATTGAATCCCTTTCTGGTATGAAAATTGGAGGTGGTGAAGAAGGAACCACCTCATGTGAACCACATGTTTTGACTGTTAAGCCTGCTAGGCCAATCACTAGGATTCAAACGACAGATGTGACTGCCGTATGAATTAATTTATTTAACATTAGAACAACGTCAAAATTCTTGTGTTCAAAACCTGACAGCAAATTTTAGAATGCTGTTATTTTAATACTGAAATGTAATTCATCTTTATAGTATTTGCAATACTAATTATTCTACGAGTTACAAGCAATTATTTTGTTTAATAAAAATTTCGAGTTATATAGTTAATTTAATTGTGTTGTTTTGATTACTGAAAACAGTGTTTATTATTAATTAAATATCAATTTTAAAATATAAAGTACAAAATTTTGTTTATTTATAATCTCTATTGAACATTTAATTGTTCTAGCTTTCATACATAAGTATCATAAATACGTACTAATAGTTTTTTTATGAACAAAAATTTATAAAAGTTTATAAAATATTTTTTATATAATAAGTTATGTTATGAGAAAAAAAAAAGCTTTTTGTATTGAGAGTGTATGGTTTTTAACAAACACCCTTATATATTATAATTCTAAAATATTATAGGCCTGCTGCAATTGGTTTAATTTCAATAAATTGTTTAAAACGTTTGGAATATTGGGACGTACTTTTAAAAACTACACCGCGTGTGTATTAAGCAAATGTTCATTTTTTCTTCAATAATGTATAATCATTTTTTAAAAGTAAATTTTATTCAGGAGTGAATCATTTTTTAAACATAAATTTTATTCAGAAGTGAATAATCTGCAATATTTTCTCGTATTATAGTGCCATACAGCAACTTAGTATACTTATTGATCATTCATAAATTAACCCTTTTAACTCGGATGCCGCCGCTTCGGTGGCAAAATTCATATTAATCTCACAATTCGCGAGTGGAAAGGGTTAATATTGATTTCTTGTTGATTACGTCTATTATTTGCACATATAGGAAAGTTGGTGTTCCATGGTTAAGCGCACTGTTTTGTGTGGACGGAGTTGCGAGTTCGAACCACCCCGCTCTGGATAACCTGATAACATGCAGTAGTGATATCAATTTTTGAAAATATAGATAGCTAGTGGTGCATGGCATCGTGCCTTAAGGAAAGTTACTGGAAATTTCCGTACCAAAAATTAAGGTTTTTAAAAAATATTCAATTTTCTTTTAGAACTACGAGAAAAATCGATTTTAGAGTTTTGACCCAAAATTGACTTTTTTTTGAAAAATTTTATTTTTTTGAAATATTGGCAATTTTGAATTTTTTTTCAAAGCAATTGGGATACGTTATCTGTGTAGCTGCGTAGAAACGAAATATAAAAGCGTGTAGGCGCCGCGTTGCAGGAACAAAATTTGTTTTTATATTGGATCTCCAAAACTGCTAGACCTGCCTTCCTAAATATTTCATCGGTTCTACATTTAGTCAATGCAAATATTAGGTTGGCAAGTATCTCCCTTCCGCTTTTTTGCTCTTGGTTTATAATACAAAAAGGCGGAAGGGCGATAACCTTATATAATGTCTTATCAAATAAATCGGACGCTTAAAAAATCAGTTACCATTTTTGGCACTTTTTTCCCCGTATCTTAGAAACCGCTCAACCTGCTTTTGCCAAAAACTAATCAGCATGTCTCCTTATGAATACGAATCGAATGTTTTTTTAAGTATTCAAATCGCTTGACCCGTGTGACCCGAAATCGTCGACGAAAACTTATATCCGCACACGCACACACACACATCTTTTGACGACAAACGATTATGGATCACTAACCTATTTATTGTTTTTCATATTGCCAACCCTTGAAATCTTTAGTCTATCAACTTTTGGCAAATATTTTCTAATATTTTGTCAATCGGCCAATAATTCTTAATAGCCAATTCATATTATTTTCTAACCAATTGACTGGTTTTTGATTTCTAAAGCTCAGCAGACGCTGGCCTAACATTTGACTTCTTTTTTCCAGTAATAAGTAATCTATAACCTATTAATTTAGGTGACCATACGTCCCGGATTAAAATTTTTTGACCTGGTTTTTCCAAAATTAAAATTAAAATTGACAAAAATTATGAGAGCAGCTATTTTTTTGTCAAGAAAATTGAATAGAATAAAATAAATAAAATAGAATTTTATATAAGGATCAAAAGCAAAAAAAAACATAGAAACAAAAGTTCGCAGTTTTGATTAACAAAAAGTGGTCATCTTACTATAATATAATTACTATAATAAATATGGTCATCTTACTATTAACCTATTTATTATTTTCTAGATTGCCAAATGTTATCTATCACTACCCTATTTATTGTCTTTTAGATTATTATCAATGCTAATTTTTGACTTTTTTCTAATAGACTTTCTAATTACCGAGTGTATACCAGCTGCCAATTATTTGACTTTTGAATTCTAAATGACTCTAAAA